TAAATTGTTATATATAAGATCGTTTTTGCGTTCATAGATTTTTTTCAGCAAGTTTCCCCAATATATTGTATGGAACAGTGTGACTTTTTTATATATATACCTGCTTCAAAATTATTATTGCTATGGCCATTTTTGTTTTGATCATATACATAATAGTTTCACATGTGGTTGTAATTATCTATGAACGCAAAAATCATCTTATATAGGACAATTTATCAAATACATTAGTAATACAAAGAAATAAGATCAACCACAACTTCGATCTAAAGAATGCCACACTTATTAAAAGAGAAAATAACTTACTTAGACTGAAAGTTCTTAAGTGTGCCGTAATCAAGTTTTGCTAAAATGTTAAACTACGCGCCAAATTTTTTCAAATATGTACTTTAAATTCTTCTTTTTCCAAGTCAACATAGAGGATCATAAAAATTGAAAAAAAAAAATTAAAGGTAAATGGTTAAAACAAAACCATCTGTTATTTAAGACAAATAAATACATACATAATTTATCAAATGAAAATAAAATAATAAATAATAATTACATTAATATAAAAAGTACCAAAATATATACAAGCAAATAAGAACACAAAAAAAATCAACAGCATCAATAACAACACTTTTGTTTATTCAGTATTAAATTAAATCACTTAGCATCTTCCATAGTTTACCTTGACTTTCACAGTTACCCGTAAGACTATTTTTAGCGTTCTTAAAGTTAAAACTTTAACGAGAGTTTTATTTCTGTTTATAAATACATGTCGCAAAATAAAATCTTTATATTTATCTTGATAAAGTCCATCTATGGACGAAACCCGTTGGTAAAGAAAAGTTTTCCTCTTGTCATTCTTCATATATATATATATATATATATATATATATATCAAATAAAAAAATATAATGTTTTATATGAAAGTATTTATTTATATATATATATATATATATATATATATATATATATAGAGAGAGAGAGATAGATACATATATATATATATATATATATATATATATAGAGAGAGAGAGATACATATATATATATATATATATATATATATATATATATATATATATATATATATATATATTAAAACAAGTTTCATTGAATAATATAGATATATTATGTCTATTTGCTTTATAATAATCCTTTCCAGTTCTCTAATCAGTTTCTTGATGTTAAGATGAAATTCATCAAGGAAGGGGCCGTAATTTTTTTCCTACCCATGTACCTTCGATCTCTTCCAAGGAATTACAAAAACAAACATTATAACTTTCATCGTTTTGATGGTGATCTTTAAAAGCACGTGTGAACGCGTTCTGTTATAAATATTTTAAAATTTTAAATGTATCCTTTATAGCTACTTGGGTAGGAAAAAAACACGGTGTATCCCTTGATGAATTTCAACTCAACATCAAGAAGATAATTAGAGAATTATAAAGGATTATTATAAAAATAAATAGACATAATATGTATTATTATATATTATTCAATGAAACATATTTGAATTAAGATATGCCACACACACACAAACACACACACACACATATATATATATATATATATATATATATATATATATATATATATATATACATGAATTATTCACACAAAAACTAATGCAAAGGTTAATGATTTAAATGGCGAGACATCCATCATCGCAAACAATTCAAATAATATACAAAAACCTATTCTATACCTGAAGATGTCTGTAGGAACAGACGAAAGCTTGTAGTAAAATAAGAACTAATACGGCAGAAATTTATATAAACAAGGATCATTTCATTCATAACGGATACGGAGGTTTTTTGTATATTATTTGAATTGTTTGCGATGATGGATGTCTCGCCATTTAAATCATTAACCTTTTGCATTAGTTTTTTGTGAATAATTCATGTATTTGTAAATTGATTGCACGTTTATCGTAATATATATAATATATATATATATATATATATATATATATATATATATATATATATATATATATATATACACACATTTGTGTATTTAGGCAGTAAATTCTCTTTTAGACATGTCTGATTGAATAAATTACAGACATCATGTCTGCTAATTTTTGACAAGACCCGTTCATACTCACGAATAACCTTCCGTGTATTGATGTTGAAGGATGAGAGAAATGTACAATAGCTGTTTAAATTTCTTTTATTTCCATTTCCCAAGTACTTTCGATCTTCTTTCAAGATCATCTTCAGTGTTCTAAGTAATACAAAACTATACGTTGTTCATTAGTATTTTGAGTATTTATACAAAGTTGTGCGTTGTTATCCATCACCGTAATTTTTTTCATTATGCTTTTAAATGCAAAACGGTTGACAATGTGCTGACCGTTCATTAGAACGTGAAAAATTATCCATTATGGAATTTTTTCCTCTATGTTATAATATCATGGTCACGCGCGCATTAAAGCGTGATAAAACTGTTCCTTTACAGGCATTTCAGAACATTATTGCAGTATTCATAGTTGATTCTATTCAGTGCCGGCTTTAAGTATTTAATATAAGTTGTTTCTAGTATCTGTAATCTAAATTTGTTGTTTTCATAGTGTAGGATAGTTGTGTTGTCGATTAGCAATTTTTATATTGTGATCTAGACACACACACACACACACACACACACACATATATATATATATATATATATATATATATATATATAGAGAGAGAGAGAGAGAGAGAGTGTCTAACAAAAATACTTTTACAAACTTTGGGTCGGGTTCCTTACACCAAAACAAGGACAAAAGTCCATATAAACACTTAGATCAGAAAGTAAAGGCATTTTGAAATAAAAGGGTTGTATGGAAATTGCCTTTATTTCTTATTTACCTTCGTATATAGTGTGCGTCAGTTATTTAAGAACAGCCTTTAATTTGACGTAATCATATTATTTAGCATAGAAAGCAATATATTTCTTTTACAGATTTTAATACACATTTCCCCACATATACTACAGTTTAAAAATTTGAGGCAACCTCAGGACATTTTTTAAATTGGCCCCAAAAGTAGTTGTTTGTACATTAAATAAGAGAAAATTATTATACAGCGTTAAAAAAAGATATGAGTTTTATTAGAAATTCTATTATAACCAAAAAGGAAATAATTTTTATGATTAAATTTTGCTCTTGTCCAAATATCCTCCTTTAGCCTTGATTACTGCAGCATAAAGTTTTGACATTCGTTACAAAAGACTCTCAAAATATGTTTGATAATTGATTCCATCCTTTTTTCAATGTCTCTAAGAGCTCTTTTTCAATTTTTTTTTTCTCACTCTTTTGTCAAGTTTATCCCATGCTAATTCTAGGGGATGCTTCAAACTTTTGAACTGTAGTGTACATACACAAAATATAAATCTATTCAATATATCCACCATCCCCCTCCATTAGTTCTTCGATGATGCTTCTAAAACGATTCCATGCATTAATCGGGTGTTCTTTATTCCTGTTGGTAATGCACCGCCACCCCATATATAGTAGCATTCAGCGAATCCTTCGTATTGTAGGCATACTTGTTGGTCTCCCTCTCAACGACACCCGATATATAATAGTCTGTAGGGTTTAAATCAGAAGGGATAGGAGACCAGATACTGGGACAATATGATTCAGCCAGCCATTCCTTGGTCTTACCGACTCTAGGAGTGTGACAGTGTCTTGCTAGTACGGCCTCCCACGAGCTACCTCCACGATCGTGGACTCGATAACGGTGTCCAATGTCTCGACGTAAGCGATGGCATTGGCCCTACGGCCTTGTGGCAATAAATGGGGAGTCATGACATGTCTTTCATTGCTCACGACTCCCAAGACCATCATAGATGTTAGGAACTTGCTGTGCATAACAGCAGAGACATCAGTGTGGCTAGCACACAGCTACATGTTATTTCATCTGCTCACTTTTTGATATTAAAAAAAAAATATTTCGGATTTCTCGGGTTATATTGGAGTTTGTTTAACAATCTCTTCGACCTGATCACACGTTTCCCCAGGGTACTATTAGACATAAACTGCTCTCCTCATAACGTATGATTTGTATGTGATGTCTTCACGTCTGTTTGTTGGCTCCGATACCTGAAGATGATTGGCAATGGCCATCATTGATAATTTGGAGTTCTTGCCAATGATGTTCAAATCTTACTGAACGAACTCGATATTCCTGACAATGTATGACTATTAAGACTGTTTTTTGTCGTTCTTTTGGCCACTGAAGATCTCTTTTATTATCTTAAGCATAAAAGACCTAACAACATTTAAGAAAATTGCAATTCTAGAATCTGTATGGATGATGATAAAAGCAACGAGAGATACGTGGCTTTTCATCTACTGTGTTATAATCAAAGTTTCCATGGAGCGGCTGAAAAAAAAACAGACTAGATTTTTAGTTTGTTGGTCAGTTAGATAATATTAGCTGTTTCCTTACAAGGAAAAATTTGGCATTCATTGAGCAAGCAGCCAGTATTGCTATCTGTTGAAATTTACAAAATCTTTTTCTTAAAACAATTTTTCAGGAAAATAGGTTTCTCAATTCCAATAGCTGTTATCACTCTTTCCAGTATTAATGGCAGTTTCCTTCCTAACCTTTTGTTTGAAGTAGTGTGGAACATCAACATTTTGATCATGAAATTATTTTCTCTTCGAGTTACATAGGATAAACATTTTAGTTGTTGATGCTGCCGATATTCCTCAACCTCTTCATTGTATCATTATTTTCTCTTCGAGTTACATGCGCAATTCGTTTTAGTTATGGGTGCTGTTGATAGTTCTCAAGTGATGTGGTTTCTGTTATTACGTACAGTACAGTTCTTTTTGGGATTCATAAGCTACTTCGCAAAGTTCGAAGAAGAAGGGTCTTCGCCAAAACTCACAGACTTCACTCGCTCAAAGCCATTTTAACCATTAATCTGAGAAGGCCGTTGTATGCAGCTGACAGGAAAATGTATTCTTAAATACTAGACGCACTCTATATATTTACTTGTTCACAAAACCCTTCAACAGAGGCTTACGACCACATCACGTTGAGACACCTGTCTCGTACGATCACCGAAGTTAAGTAACGTCGAGCTTGGTCAGTACCTAGACGGGTGACCGCTTTGGAATATCAGGTGCTGTAAGCCTGGATGTGCGAGTGGTGTAATGGAATTGTTAATCAGAGTCCCAGTCAGGTTCGTTATATTCGCTACGCACAAATACCTCTTGGGAAAGGTATGAATCCACCTCTTCTCCCCCAGCTATGTGTTAATTAGTAAGACTTGTATCACTAAACTATTATTGTTTCAAAAAAACTTTACTATCTAAATTTTTTTATAGCTTTAAATAATCTGCAAAGGCTTGATAAGCCGTAGAAAATGAATCAATCAATCTCCCAATAGAATGTGTACTTGAAGCTGCATCAAATGCAGTGTAGTATACTTGGGTAATAATTTCCTTCCCAAAATAAAGAACTCTATGACGATATTCAGTCACCCCCCACCACGAGGGTGTCATGTGGCACAAGGCCTTTTTAACGTGGGCATTCCGAGCCCGTGGGCTCGGCCAAAAATATGCCCATCGAACCCGTATAAACGGGTTCAGGTCCGGTCTACCTCCCCGAAGGAGACTCCGCCCTTCGGCGTAGCCTCCTTCGGGTTCCTCCCGTCCGTAGGAAGAGAGTTTAACCGAACAGTCGCTCAGAAAGTACTGACTCTATGATGGAAAAAAAGGATGGAAGAACTCTATGACACCATATATTGCCGAAGATTATAGTTTCGACGATAAAATGCACTTTAATATATGGCTCCACGCGTGTACGCATGGGCAAAGACAATATATTACTTCAACATTATGGCTTTTATCGCGAATGCTTCTGGCAGCTTACAATCCTCCTATTTTAGGGAAGTCGGTGGACAGTGTTCAGAATCCCCAGATACTCCGCTCGCTTCAGTTATAACATGTCCCACTTGGGGACACGACTGATTCCAGTTAAAAGTGTAACATTATTGTAATTATTTTTAAACACTACACTTTCGATGCACGACAATCAGCATTTTACGTTTATTGTTAAGTGCTGTCTGATTGAGGTCTTGGCATTGTTCATTTAAACAAATAGCAGGTTATGTTTTCTTTTTTTTTAGATTGTGCAACCTTTACAAAATGAATTGATTGATTGCTGGTGGAATAAAGGAGAATAAATAGATTGGCAATAAAGCATGACTAAATACATCAACAACTTGCGAGATATATATATATATATATATATATATATATATATATATATATATATATAAAAAAGAAGACGTCTGTGTGTGTGTCTGTGTGCTATTTATGAACGTCCACATTTCTCGACCGATTTCGATTAAATTGTACACACATGTTGCAAATTTACCAACTTAGATCAAGACCAACTTATCAATCTCAAGGTCCTCCGGGTTTGACAGAAAAATCGATAAAACTAAAGGTGGGTGCGGCTTTTTGCAAAAACCAGGGCAAAGTTACAGGCGAACAAAATTTATACTGGATGAACTGATGTTCTTTGCTCTTAATGCAAAACATCAGCTCATGTTACGAGGTTTATGTAGAGTGCTTGATAGTTTTCCTGCGACGTTGGCTTCACATAAAAAATTGCAAAAAGCATTGAAAAAAACATTTTTTGTGTGTGTGTACTACTTAAAATAAAAACTTGAATAACTTTCTCAATTTTTTATCCGATTTTTTTCGAACATGTCTCAAAAATTTGCCATCATGTAAGATAATGTGGTTTTATTCCTTCTCGCTTCATCCCGTATAACGAAAAAAATGTTCAAAAAGCCGTTTTTCAGCCATAACTCCCTGGTTTTTCATCCCATCCATTTGTCACGTAAATTACATATGGCACATAAACTGTCTTGCGTGAATGTTTGATTTAGATTATTTGAGTTAAATGGACGAAATCTGCGACAAAACTAGGTCCCAAATCGGCTTTTGTCATTTAGCCAATATTTTTTTCATATGATTCCATTCTGAACTGGCATTCAAACAACCTTTGATGCAAAGATTGTTTGAGGAGGATTATTGAAGCGTTAAAAGGGAAAAATTCCCAAAGAACCTCTTAAACCACCTCCCCGCTTTACAGCTGAATCGAGCTCTGACGTTTCATCACTGTTTTTGTTTGATTATTAGATTTTTGAACAATGCCATAGTATTTGAAATTTATTACGGCCATAGAAAATGTATTGAATATCTAAAACATTGAAACAATTTAACACCGAGCGACGACCACACAAGAAGGTTTTATCGATGGAATTCCTTTATTAAGAATAATCAAACACTTGTGAAAGACATACCGTAAAAAAATGAGGGTAGGTGTAGTATACCAACAAATGATGCATGCAAGCGTGGACGGAGGCAGACATTTCTAGACAGGAGGTGCGGGTATACAGGGGTGTGGTTATACAATTGTAGTCATGTACACCCAGGCAGGCAACACCAGATACCTCGATTAGTGTATATATATATATATATATATATATATATATATATATATATATATATATATGTGTGTGTGTGTGTGTGTGTGTGTGTGTGTGTGTGTGTGTGTTGCAGATGAACTTCCTGAAGACACCCACAGACAGCTCGATCTGACGTGTACAGATTGTGGTACAGTGTGTTTGTCGATGGTTGGTTTATGGAGTCACGTGAGACCGCACTGACGGGGAGTGGCAACCGACTATATAGCCGTAGACATCCAGCAACTGAAATGTGATATTTGTGGTAAGATATGAGGGCCCAGAAGCGGTTTCATGCGACATTTTAAATTGCATGATAATGTAACACCCGCTGTTGCACCTCTTAAGTGCCTTGTTTGTGCCAGAGTATGTGGGTCCCTTGCTGGGTTAAAGAGCCACATTCGTTCAGCATATCTGTAGATATTCTCCAAAAAGATATGTAGTAATAACCGTACTTGCACACGAGTTGGCAATCACCATATACATATATATTGCTTTTTTGTGAAATGATAAAAAAACATGTAAAAGATTCTAAAATATTCGAAAGGAAAACGACATAATAATACCCATATATATTTTCATCGAGGTGTAACTTCACAAAAAGCTTTGTATCAAAATATTGTCGCTGTCATCTGATAGAGATGCTTGCTTGTTTCAAAAAACGGATAAACATGTAAAAATGGGCGTATGTCAACTTATGCCTTTTTGAGTTACACCGATATGTACGCGCACGCGCACGCACACACACACACACACACACACACACACACACACACACATATATATATATATATATATATATATATATATATATATACACAAAGGTGTACTGAAAAATTCTTGGGTCTTTCATGGTAATTGTTCTGATGAGGTTTCATCTTTTGTATTTCGACTTTATGAATTTGAGCGTATAACTAGACTGACGGCAAAGTCACATCATCTTACAGTCAAAATGGCTAGATGCAACCGTAAGTGCTAGGCTAACAGTTTTTACTCTCAAACGCTTGTCTTTCAGCTTCTTGCTTTCCAGTAAATTTTGATCTTCAAAAATATTTAATACAATGTCAATCGTTAATTGTATTCTTAATTCTTGTTCTTTTATTGTTCTCTCTCCTTAATAATGTTTTCATTCACTCAGTAAGCTCTTGTGTTTTATTGACTTTATTGCCATGCTTGGGGTGCAATGATTAAAAAAAAAAAACAGCCCCCAATCTCAGATATACATATTTTATCTCTAAAGCATTTAAATTAAATATTTATTACATTTCAAATCAAGTAAATAAACGGCAAATTCTGTTTGTCTGTCCGTGTGTCTGAATTCCCTCAAATTCGGGCCACATTTGCTCTACATAGACATACCATTTTGGAATCAGGATGATCCTGGGATTGAAAATCTGCCCTTCATCTGTTGCTTGAACATTCAGCAGTGGGATTTTTTAGCCGGATGACGAGGGAACAGTTCAAAATTCAAATTTTAAAATAACTGAAAAAATTAGTGATTTTAAAAGTTTTTAATCTATATTGAGTTTAAAGTAGCTCAAAACTTTGTGAATTTAAAAGTTTTTGTTAAATTCAATTTGAAATATCTCCAAAACTTTGTGAATTGATAAAATCAATTTTATTTCTTCAAAATGCCAAGGAATCAGAGTTAAAGTAAGAGGTTTCGTGACGTGAGCTTTTGAAGTTCTGCAGAGTTTATGATTTGAAGAATTCAGTTTTCGGTCTGAATTAGAATTTTGGTCAAAATGGGAGTTTTGGCCCAGGTTGGACTTCCGGCACAAATCGGTCTTTTGACCGGAATTGGACTTATAGCCCGAATCAGAATTAAAGTGAGATTTTGAAGTTCCACGGAATGAATTGAAGAATTCAAAGTTATTTCTTCAAAATTATCACTGCTGTTTCCTAAGCAGGGACAGAGGTCCCTTTAGCTTTGAGCCGGAGACCTAATTAACCTCTTGCAGAAAAGTTTGAAAAGTCCGCACGGAGTGTGGCTATAAAGCTTTAAAAAAAAAAATAGATGAACATCCAAATACGATAAAATGCATATGTTTTATTAAGAAATCAAAGTTCAATGAAAATACTGCCTGAGGTAGTGAATCACTTACAGAAAATAAAACAATAGTAAATGTCTGGATGGGCTTGTCATCAGGAAGTATTTATTGATCCTTCTTAAGTGATGGAAATATTACAGGTAAAAAGTTATTATGTTGAGTCATAAGTAATTTCTGTTTTGTCGTAATCAATTGTAATAAGAAATACATCATCCTAACTAACCAATCCTTAAATATATCATAACAGTGGATGAAAAATGGGTTACATACGAATTAAAAATTTCTAATTTAATAATTAGTGGATGTCATACATTCTTTAGTTTAGCTAATTCCTACTAATCTAGGATGCTGAAACTATTTGTCGCATTAGTTTGAGACGTCCAGATTTTTTTGTTTTTTTTTAGAGAAGGTGCTACCTAAAATTTAAAATCCACCAGGCCTAAGATTATCAATAACCAGAAAAGTAGATTAGGCAAAAGGAATTAGAATTTTTAAGGAAACTTTATGCAGCAAAATGTTAATTTCCTTATTATCATTTAATATATGATAAAATCCTTCCGGGGAAGAAAATGACTCTGACCCAAAGGGAGTTAGTGAATTAA